TGTTATTATGTCATATTCGGTCAATTTCCCTTTTTTTGTTTAGGAAGAAAATATGAATCGATCATGAATAATCAATATCCTGTGATGGAAATGAAACAGCTTTTGCATCTTTTGATGTCGATAAGAAATTATTCATTTCTATTGATGTTGATGGTAAAGCTTCCTTGAGTGCTGCTCCTTTGACTGTTGCTGTCCTGATTATTTGCTGTTTCCGATATGGGACATATAAATAATCGAGAAATAAGTCGGGATTAAAAGGAAATATTCCAGTTGCTCTGACCTCTTGAACAACAGTTTCTATTTTTGATGCTCAAAAAATGCAACTTTGTACAATAATTGTGCTTCTTCCGGATTTAGAAATCAACCACGTCCTAACATCCTGTTCGTAATTTAACGATGCCACAGTTTTCGCATTTACTTTATGGGCTTAACAGCATTAGATACGGATATATACAAAATAATAACAATTTAAATTAAATGATCAGAAACGTGAAAACGAAAGAATACATATGCTATACACAGATAGTACGAGGCTAAGCCCGGTAGCTGGTTCTGTCCCATAGCCAAATACTCGGTTTTGTCCCAAACACATTTATTTACTAAACAACATTAAATATTTATACTTTAGTAGGAGATAGAACAGTGAAAAAAGGAACAACCTAAAAATTACATATGATATTTAATTATATATGACACGTAATGTTTTCTCCAAGCATAGATTTTTCACACTTCGATGACATTTCGAAACACACTTCTACTAGATGCTCTACTAGTCGTTTTACTAACCTCGCAGATCTTTTCTATGCTTACTGGTTTCTTCAATGTTTTCCTCGATGCCTTTTCACGTCGCTCTCTTTGCCGCTTTACTATAATATCCTATTTTGAAAATAACACATTCTATTAACTAAAAAAGCAAAAAAGAAGAGAAGAGACAAAAATGTTATAGAAAAAACTTTTTTCGATTGTCAAGGTTCGTTACCAAATGTATCTTCCATCGCTTTTATGTATCTCTTGTGTCTTTTGTATTTTCGTCCGCGAACTATCTTCGATCGTCAGATATTCACACATATGGACGCATACACCATCTATCCCAATTTTTAATAATGCAGAATTGAATCAATAAACATTTTTTGTTACAAGCAATTAAAAAATATTGAAAAATTATTTATATTGGTTTTAAATAACCAAAACGTTTCTATATGTTGTTATTGTTTTAATAAATTAATATTTAATTTTAATTTTTTTATGTTATATTATTTCGCTTACAACACTGAAACTTAATTTTACACATTTTTAGCTATCGATTACAAAAAGGAATTATGAATCTGTGTAAAACAACTTCACCGTCGCAGCAAGTTGATTTAAATTTAATGGATTTTCACCGAGCAGTGGATATTCACAACAAAGCTTTCATGTTGGTAAAATAATATTCTAATGTAACGATAATTTCGTTGTATATATTTATATTAATAATATCTTGTTTTGCACTTTGTATCATCTATATGTGAAGATTAGGCAATTCCATGCTGAGCAAAACGACGATACATTATATGGTAGCGAGTCTTATATACGTGATCGCATTCGGTGTGACTTTATTTCGAGTGAGTATTCTTTCATTGTTACATAAACAGAACATTAAACCAAAACATAAACTTTTCATCTTTTTAAATTCTTTCTGAATTATAATATTAACGGTCGCAGGATAATAACAATGATGTTTGTTTGTATCGTACCTGATTATAAAATGTATAAATGATATAAAATTAGTTCAAGACTGTACATCGTTTTCCAAGAATAGAGATCATTTGCGACTCACGATTGGTTTGTGACCTGTTGTCCTCGCGACAATTAGAATACGATGAATATTATCAAAATTTGATTGAAAATCGTGCCGATGTCAATTATTTGGACATTTTTCTTAATAAATATTCACCAGCCCAAAAGTGTAAAATCATCTGTTAAATCCATGAACCCGTGACAAATAATTTTTCCACATTCTGTGCAATATGAAATAGTCCGAGAATTCTCTAGCGTGTTATTTTTCACGTTACTTGCTAACTTTATTTGTAAAGCATTTTTTTTATGTTTTAAAGTGATTAGCCCAATCCTTAATGTATGCGTCATTTTATTTTACGCGGTCAGAAATTCTATTTTTTGAATAATCCTTATTGAAATTATTATTGTACACGAGTGAATGTAAATTTCATCAATATCATTTTCATTTTCTTCAGTTTAGGTTTATTATTTTAGATTATAGTACCGATATTATTTTCTTTTGAAAATACGTGACATAAATATTTCTAAAATTTCTTTCATATTTTCATTTATATAACTCATTCCAATTATGTTTTTGTTTCACGAAAAATTAATGGTTGCCTTCATACGAAATGACTGCAATTAATAGTATCTAAACATTGTAGCGTCCACAATTCAAGATTGTACGAATGAAATAAAAAAAATCAAACTGAAAAATAGGCCGACTAGATAATATTTGTACCAAATATATCTAGTTTGTTAACAAGCTACTGTAAACCTAACCTAACAAATATGTTAGGGAACGCAACATCACATTCATATAAAGACCGCTACATATGTAATCTATTAACCTAGAAATTCTTTTTGTTTAGTTTTCTAAATCAGTGACATATCTAAACGATAAAACGGAAATTTTTGTATGTCTTATATTTGTTGTTATTTATCTGGTCATTATGTTCCAAAATAATCACTGTGGACAGTTAGTAATAAATACTAGTATGGATATATTTATCGAAATGTAAGTTTAAATCAGCCTATTGTGATAAGTACTTCTATTTTTTAAGTAAATAATGTGATCATAATGAAGAGAATAACTGAGCCATTAATCATCATTTTCTTGTCCAAATCTGTCTTTAGTGCAATTAGTTATAAGATGTATAATGCATGAATATAATAGAAACATTTTAAATAATTGAAATCAATGTAAAAAATTTTTTCAAATTGCGAATGTTTTTTAGTCGTTTGTAACAAAAAATATTGCACAATATTTTAAGTAATTAAATTTTCTTTTTCTATACTAGTATTTACTCTATGACCCTTCATGTTTCATGACACAGTTTCGAATACTTTATATAAAATCATTAGAATAAATTTTATTCCATCGATTTTTTATCCTTTTTCAGTCACGACTTGTTTAGGAACTTTAAGTTCCAATTATTACCCGATTGTCCAGAATTTCCAATTAATCAACGTATTTATGCTAACTATTCTTCGGCAATTGTATAAGAAAACAAAATTAAATTAAAGAAAAATATTATTTTTTTCATTTTCATTTTTATTGACAATAATAAAATATATGATAATAGTAAAATTATCGTATATTTAAAAATTTGAAAATTATGTTGCAGATATTACTAATTAAGAAAGAAATATTTCTGATTTATTTCTTTCATATATGTTTCAAATAATTGGGATATTGTAAAAACCAATTAAATCAATATAGACATAAAATTGGTAATTATTTGCAAAGCGACAATTTCACGGATTTTGATGACTTTAAAATATATTATCAAAAGCATTTCTGGACAACTTTTTCCTATACATGTATACATCGCCACTTAGCTTTAGTTCAGAGATATTCGCAAAAGTATTCTTGTCATTGTATGTATCTCTAACGTTTGGACTATGTTTGTATTAATTAAAACTATGAATATAAGTTAGGAGTAAGTTTAAATTTTAAATGCCAGTACTAGTAGCTTAAGTAGAAATAAACTCATTTAGTTTAATAATAAGATAAATTTTGTTGATACAAATAGTAATGCACATATATGGAGAAATACACACCTAAAATATAGAAATGTGGCGGAAAACTCGAGCATACGTTTCGCGATGTAGAACTCGCGAAACACATTATGTAGGCTACACAATTCATTTTTTTTTTTTTTTTTATTGTCAATGTAATTGAAAATTGTATGGTTGCATTTTTTAACATTATGGTTGAAGTGTAGTCAATTTCGAATAATGATAATATATAATAAAGTTTAATATGAATTGCAGTTGTGTTATTATTTAATAGTTGTACTAATGACAATGTTCTGTTAAAGTGATCAATATGGGATCAAATATATCCTAAATTTAACATTCAAGCCTATATTGATAGTTTTAATTAGTACAAATATATTCCAAACGATAGAAATACAATATAAGATGACAAAATTATTTCTGTCCGTTCTCAGAAACTAAAACTGAACGACAATAACATGTATGGGAAAAATTAATTCAGAATATTGATCTTGACAATATTATTCGAGGGCATCAACATCCGCTTCCTAAATGTTAATTATAAAATTTATTATATATCATAATAATAAACATAAAATATGTTATACATTATTTAAAAATGATTATGATTACTTTTCAGTACTTTCACATTCAGATAACTAGATTAGAAATTATATAGAAATCTGATTAAAATCTTTGATCAGCATCACTAACCATTCATTCGATGTAATAAATCAATGTACATATATTCATGTACATATAAACAATCCTATGAATACGATTTAGAACGAAATTATTTCTTGTCACAGAAAATAAAAAATATTCGCAATTTTGAAAAATTATTGAAATTAATTGTTCAAATCATTGAAACAGCAAAAATTGCATTCTTTTTTTTTGTACAGTTTAAAAGTAATGGGAAATGATTTACGCGAAATGCAGAGCTATTATCTCAGTTATGCTCCTGACTATATTTTGTTACAATATATCAAATGACACGTACAATAATATACAGATACGATTCTACATGGTACTCTATTCCGTTAAAAGCGCAAAAGCTATTATTGATGATTATGACAAAAAGTTTGCAACAATATGAATTTAATCTTTCTGGTTTATTCGTTCCATGTTACGAAGGCTTTTTGACGGTAATATTTCTAGTACTTCATAATATAAATATCGTTTAATTTCAATTTATTAAAATCTCTTTTATTTTAGATGATTAATGCAGCTTTCTCGTATTTTACTGTAATGCAGTCGTTTCAATAGAATTCTGTAAATCTTATGAGCTTTATGTTAGTGGCAGACTATAATAAAATATATTGTTGTTTGATTTAGAAAGTGTATTAATAAAATTTATTTGTTCATTACTTATTTGCTTTTCATAATAAAATATAATTACTGTATTTTATGTGATGCATACATTGATTTGTTTTTATTTTTTTACAATTGCAATAATCGAGTACAGTTACAGGTTCATCTAAATGTGGATTTGGTTATATGTGTGAGAATGCATGAGAGTCGAGCGAAAGCATGAGTGTTGTGAGACAATTGCAAGTGTGTTGCGTGATGCGTTTTTGTTCAGAAGCGAGCAGAAGAGTGTTAATTGCAAGTCTGAGTTAAAAAGTAATATTGATCTGTTTGAAAGTGAATTCATAAGTGATAGTTATTGTATACATTATTCAATTTATATATATATATATATTAAATACATTAATTAAGAGTGTGTATTTTATTTAATTCACTCACACTAAATACGTATGAATATTAATAACATGAATTAATTAAATAAATTTTTATTTACTCATATTGACTGTCAGGTTTCATCATTGATTATGATGCTTGTATCTTCAAATTTCCCATAAATAGAACAATACCTGTATTTATGGAAAATTTGAAAATATAAATTTGAAGATTTAATGCGTTATACATCTACATATATAACGCATGTCATATGCAAAGTATAAGATATATAATATATTCAAAATTTAATTGGTAAACTATTGACTATATGAACCAATATTCTGCTTAAGTTCTATTTCTTTAATTTGCTTAAATATCTGCAACTTAAGAATAGAATAACGAATGAAACAATTCACAATGGAAAGAAAATATTGTATCAGATATTTTATTCTTTTTCAAGGGATACGAGCACTAATTCTTTTTGTTTTTCTCATCATATGCACGTCAATAGAAAGTAATTAAAACAACAGTCTTGTCAAACTCTATGAGGACATCACACAACAAGTGTTAGTTATTTCGAAAATTTCGTTATAGCAGAATAGCCTAAAAATATATGAAAAAAGCACGACTATTTTATTCAACAAGATTATCACAGTACTTTTACTCATTCTCTCTCTTTACAATATAAAAGCGTTACGGGTAGTTATGATATTAAATAAAAATAAATGAATATGTAAATAACTCTGTAAATAACTCTGCAGTGAACATTAAAACTATTGGCGTCAATACAATGTGCTAATCATTCATACAGGGTAAGTCTTGTAGCGTGACATCAAATAACTCATAAAATGAGCTTCATTTGTTGTACGAAGAAATGTTCAGATAGAAGTTGCATGGCTTCCAGGGGGACATATAGTACTGTAATCAGTTTTGTGTTGTTTTGCTTTTTTATCAAGATATAAATCATCGCTTTTCATCAAGATATGAAGATCTCCTTTATTTTTTTAAACGGAATAGTTAATATTTTTTTCCGAATTCGGATAAAGCGTTGAATCCTACATAAAAAAGTATTACACCAAATAGGGTCTAAAATACATAGTTAATGCCAGTATCTGTGTATTTTAGACCCTATTTCGTGTAATAATTTTTTATGTAGAATTCAACGCTTTATCTGAATTTGTGAAAAAATATTAACTATTCTATTTAAAGAAATGAAGGTGAGTTTCATATCTTGATAAAAAAGCAGACATAAAACTGATTACAATACTATATGTCTCCTTGGAAGCCATGCAACTTCTATCTGAACATTTTCTCGTACAACAAATATTTTATGAGTTATTTGATGTCGTTACGAAACTCACCTTGTATATCTACGTGATAAGAAAATAATTTTGTATGACTTCGCACACGAAACAGAGTTTGGTTGAATAATAAGTGAAAGTCGTTTTTGTATAAAAAAATATATAGAATAAAATTTTTTTAATTGTAGTTTTGTTTCTGAGAAAGTTGAGTTTAAAAATATATCAAATATATTAGAATTACCAACTGAATTTGATTACAATTTCATCAAATTGAAGAGTAATATACTGCGAAATGTTAATAAATAACGACACTTTAGGATTAAAATATTTAATTGAAATAAAACTTATTTATACTTACTATTAGTGTTAACATATAGTGCTAACATATATATACACACACACATGTATATTGATTTATACTTTTCTTTAAAAATTTGTTAAATAAACAGATAATAATAAAAAATTATGTTGGTAAAAAATTTTATTTATTTATTTAGTATTAGATATTATATCACCGGCTATCATCTCTTTATCAAATTTTTATACATTATTCTATCCGAAATATTTCATATTTCTAACAAAAAGACATATAATTTAACTATAAAAAGAGCAGTTAATCGTTAAAGAGATATCCAACTCACGATTAAAATTTGAGGGAATTTAATCGTGCATAATAATTAACGATTAAAGTAAGAATTTAATACTTAGTCGCAGTTAATGATTTAAAGTTATTAAAGATATAATCAGAAATAATGACTAAAGACAAAATTTAATCGTTATTTGTTATTAACAACTAAAGTTGGAATGTAATCATTAATTGCGGTTAAAGATTATTGGAAAAATTTAATCGTTAATCGTCGATTAATTTTTTCCTCAATTTTGGTTTGAGGTAATTAATCTCCCATATTTGAAAGTGATTGGCTAGCGCCGGCAAATTCATTTAAAACAAACTCGCGTGCAGAGAAATCAATTTTCATCTATTTGGAGGATTTTTTTCAATTTGAGAGATTTCGAAAATTTCGTCATTACGTTGATTTCGTACATTTTGTGCAACTCATGCGATCAAGTCATTGCACTACTAAGCTATCGCTGTATTATTAAGCTACGAGCTTAGTCGACATCATTGTTCAAAATCAAGAAATTGAGGAAGGAAAACAGAAGATAAATTATGTATAATCTATTTGCTAATAAACTGTTCTCGGAAAGAGATCGTCCGTCATCGCCCATTATGCGAAACTCGAACGTGCATCTCCACAACCGTCTCTAGTCCGTATATGATTTAAAGTTCAAACGTAGGTTTCCCATCTCCTAAAGATTAAAAGAAAAATTACCTGGAGATTATATGAAAAAGCATAGTTCCTAATTGGTACTCGAAGCGCTGAATCTGAAGTTCGCCAAGTTCTTTTCATTGAATACGCAATCTTCATTCTTGAGGCACGTCACTCTCCTATAAACTCCAAGGCACGACTGCGTTTCAATCGATCGGTTGCCAACTATATAACTGCTTGCATATATGCTTTTGAATTTATGGCAAAATATAGAGAGAGATAGTAAAAATGAGTGACAGCACGTGCAATTTGCGAGAGTCAATGCACGTGCTGTCACTTTTTTCATGTTGCGAATGTGCAAACAATTCAAGCGATGGCAAGAGAAACATACCAAAAAATGAAATTATTATGAGAGCCACTCCAAGTATCTCGACGTTTTTTCCGCTTTTTCAAAACTTTTTACGTAAACACATTTATATTATTCAACCACTATTGGTTATTACGTTCGAACTAGAGATGAGTGAAACCCGAAAATACGGATCAAGTCTGATCGGATCTGGAAAATTTATTTCGGGATCGGATTTAGGTCGGATTCCAAAAAATATCTCATATTACGAGATTCCCGAAAATTTCGAGACACTTTCGAGATGGCTGTCAAAAAATTTTGAAGAATTGGCTTTTCTTTACGAAAATTTAAAATAAAATATTATATTTATCACATAGCTATTATTTCTCTTCTATATTTTATCTTTTATAATTATATAGTTTTCAAGAACGCCAAAAATCTTGAGAATATCGATTTTCTTTTAAATGACCCTACATTTAATAACGGTAGCCATTCTTTGAGGCAAAGATTTTCGTAGTTTTTTAATGATTTCTTTGGCTTAATTCTTTCCATTCCTCCACAATAAACTTTTTTAATTCATAAATATTTCTTTCATTCTGAAATACGGCCGTCGTCAAATTCCCCCAATAATTTTCTATAATATTTAAGTCTAGAGACTTCGCTAGACGTTCTAAAACACAAACTTTTCTTCTATTCACAAAATATTGTTTTACTGCCTTCACAGTGTACACGGCCGCGTTGTCACGTTCAAAAAATATACATATTTCCAGCAATTTGTACGTATTAATTTGTTCATCAATTATTTCTTGCATTGCCTGGGCTCTAAGATCATAATCTCACATTTTTATAAATGCTGTCTTTTAACTTTTACCACTTTTTTTTTTATGCTAATACAACCTGCAGAAAAATGCAATTTCAAGAATTTAGGAAGACTCGCACTGTATACACAGAAGTTATCTGTATATAGTAGACTCCGGTACAACGCGGTAATTCGTTCCGCGCTATATGAATTCGCGTGCTGTACGGAAATTTTTCTCACATAACGCGTATAATCTAAAGGAACATGTTTGATATAATTATTGCTGTGTTAACTTTTATATTCTATGTTTAATCAAATAGGATGGCATTTTAAAAATAAGTGGCATATATACGCACTTGTTTAAAAACAACATTACGTACATAATATATGTAAGAAATCTTTTGTTTTATTGAAACATTAAAGAATTGTAAAATACTTTTTTAATCTTGATTATTAATCACTGTTAGAATCAACCAAAATTACATTCCCACTTCGTTTCGGTCGAATTTTTAAACAAATTGTAATTAATATAGTTAAAGTCATTAAGATTTTGTATACAAAAAATTAGCTGGTTATTAGAATGATAAAAATTTTTATTTTGAAAGTAGCTTAAATCCCATGTTAAGAGTTTAAAACTGACGTGAAATATATTATACAGTAAAATTTTATCAGATAAGAGTTATATTCTCAAAGTAGTGGTGTTTTATTAGTTTAGATAGTGATTGTTTAAATTATAACAATTCTATTAAATATATAATTTTAATATATTAAGATAAATAAACAAGGAAATAGGAAAGATCACTAGTGTGAAAATAATTGGTAATGGTAACAATATACTTTTCTGAAATTTACTGGTAAATTGATAATTTACCTAATGATAAGCTACGATGAACCT